TTCTTTTGAACTTCTTGCTACTATCGCCTTGTTTAGGACCATCTCCAGTAAACTTTCTCTTTTTGTTATGTGGTTTATGAACTTGTTCAACCACATTTGCCTTGGACTCAATCTATAGCAATAAGCATGCGAATGGATGTTATTCTTGTCACAGGGGAATATGTGTCAAAATAGTCCAGACCTTCCTTTTGTCTGTAACCTTTAACTACAAGTCTTGCTTTATACTTGTCAATTGAACCATCTGCTTTCATTTTTCTCTTGAATATCCATTTATATCCAAGAGGTTTAGAACCTGGTGGAAGATCCACCAATTCCCAAGTATGATTTTGTATAATGGATTCAATTTCATTATTAATAACCTCTTTCCACCAAGGTGCTTCAGGACCTGTCATTGCTGCTTTAAAGCTTTGAGGTTCATTTTATAACAGGTATGTCAGAAAATCTAGACCAAAGGATTTTGATGTTCTCGCTCTCTTACTTCGTCTTGGTTCATCATCAGTTAAATCCTGTTGGTTGAGTCCATTACTAGTCTCTTGTGTTTGATTGTCATTAGTCTCTTGACTTTGTGTACAATCATAAGTTCTTTTTTGTGAACTTAATTTCTGTCATTTCTTGTAAGGAAAGACATGTTCAAAAAACACAGCATTCCTTGACTCTATAATAGTGTTCACATTTATATCAGGTATTTCTGATTTATAAGTCAGAAACTGATATGCACTACTATTCTGAGCATAATCAATAAACACACAATCTACTATTTTTAGTCCAATCTTAGTCTTTTTAGGAACAGGAACTTCAACTCTTGCCAAACACCCCCACACTTTTAAGTATTTGTAGGAAGGCGGTCGACCTTTCCACAATTCATAAGTAGTGCTGTTGATTTTCTTGTGGGGTATTCTGTTAAGAACATAATTAGCAGACAATATTGCTTCCCCCCACAAGTTCTGTGGTAAGCCTGAACTTAGTAACATGACATTCATCATTTCTTTTAGGGTTCTATTCTTTCTTTCAGCAATTCCATTTTGCTGAGGAGAATAGGGTGCTATAGTTTGATGAATAATGCCATGTTGTGCACAAAAATCATTTAATGGTGCATCATATTCACCACCCCTATCACTTTTAACCAAAATCAATGGAATTTTTAAAATTCAAGAAAAAACCAAAATAATTATGACTACTTAAGTCAGAATTAATGTTTTGACAAAATCATATCCTCAAAAAAAATTTTGCCTAAGAATCAAACAATTCAAAAACCCATTTGATTGTATACATTCTTGCAACTCAATAACAAATAAATGTCACTGTTATAAAAATATTTGTGACAGAAGAAAATTAAATTATCTCAACTAATGCAAGAGATACACCTCCATATTAATAAAATGGTTCATGGTTTAACAAATTCTACTACGCAAGTAAAATAATTATTAATGACATCTCATGTCACATAATTCAATAATCAACATAAAAGATTTATTAAATTACTTCCCAATTAAACGGACCGATATAATTACATACATCTTAATGTTTAAATTTCTCTGGTGTTTAAACACCCATTCAAAATTGATTAGAAATATTCAAATTAACCTGCTTATGTCCTAAGTCGACATAACAATTTATCATTTCAAATCACTTGAAATTATTGTTAAGAAATAACATGAATTGATATCATACAT